TACATTTGCACCTCTTTTTTTTACCTTGCAATTTTGAAAGAATTCTCTTTTTTTGTATTTGGGTGTGATGTGAATCAAACAGTTTGGTGTGTGGATATGTTGGTCTTTGTTTTGCTGTAAATAAAGGAATGAGAGTGTAGTTTCTTTTTTTATTTAGAATTTGGCTGATGAGAACTTGCAAACTAGCTCTGTAACTAGACTGGTCTACAAATTCTAAGTTGAATTTTTTTGGCTCCATTGGCTTGCATTAGAGCATTGATTCCACTTTGAGATCGATAAGATTTTATTTTTGGCTTCTATGCGTCTGAATAGCAACTCAAATTAGATTGAAGCGATCTTTTTACATGTTGAACACAACCGACAATATGGCTACAACCTCGTACACAGCTTCCAACCATGAGGAAAACTGCACATCCATCATGACCATGCACAAGTGGTTTCAATCGGGTAACTTGATAACAACGAGAGTAAGGAACCCTAATTCTTATTACTCCCTTAACCATGATTACACACGTTGTACTGATTGATTATTGAGTGCCTCACTCACTCATCACCCACAAAATACAATAAGTTTCTATATCATCCACTCTCGCAGACGTTACTGCACTTTCCGTCTATCAGTAACTGAAGCAAAATACGGAGCCTTTTTCAAATAAAAACTACTATTTTATTTTGCTAATTATGAGGTATTCATAATTTTTATTTATTACTTTTTCTTAATTTTGAGGCTTTTTTTTTTGCTAAGTATGAGCATTTTTTTGCTAATTATGTGGCCTTATTGCTAAGTTTTGGTGATTTTTCGCTTAACTAAAGGATCTATTTTATTAATTAAGAAGACTTTTTGTTAATTACGAGGTTTATTTAATTAATTTATTTTTCCAAAATAAAAAAGATTCTCCCCACAAAATGGGCTTAAAAAATTTGAAGCCCAATACCTATGTTTCATATGAATATGTCAAGGATCAGACATGTATACAACCACCTTAAAATATCAGTACCAGAGATTGCACCTCAATTTATTTGAGCTTCTCTAATAACATTTAGAGAAAACAGTAATCATATCATACGATCCCCTCCCTATTTTTGTGTAACTCTAGTCTTTTTCAGTTTGAAAGCTCAAATAAAAAAACATGTGCAAATGCCAATCATATAAAAATAGATAACAACATAATAAGTAAAATATCTCAGTTTTTAAATCCGATTTTGGAGAGTAAATAAATTTGAATTTAGGGGTAGACTCTCGGTAATTCAAGTTTGTCTTAAAGATGCAACACAAAGGCTCTCAAGCGATTTCGATTTCGTTGTCTATAATGATTTGGAGGATAGTGTGAGTGATCGCTTACCTGTTTTCTTACTAATACTAGATGTTAATTTTGAATGTCTAACCGTAATTATTTTGGTAGGATCAATTCATTAGAGACAAAAAGGTTGATAAAACGTTCAAAGCATGTCTAGATGATGTAAATAGTTTATTAAACTGATTTGCAAGTGTAATACTAGTTTTAAAGCGTATGATAAATGTAGAATTATATTCACCAAAAAAAATTGTACGAACTTTTTTCTTTGATTTATTCTATTATTATTTTCTCTTCACTTTGCTAGGTTATGTGGTTTTAAAATTAAAAAAAAAAAAAGTTTCTTATGAACTAGTTATGGGATCCTAATGTATATAGGTTACCAGAATGGGATTTTGGTTAACTATTTAATATTTATCTTGGATAAACAATGGGATTAAACTCAGAAATTAAATAATTTCAAATAGACAAAGAACACAATTTGGTTGTCAATTATGTTGAACGAAGCAATTCATGCTTTTTCATTTCTTTATTTTCTCAATAGATTATTAAGGCTACATATTCGGTATTTAATATTTAATCCTATATACAATTAAAATCTTATGTGATCCTCATGGGCTTCACAAGTCAATGAAGATTGGGCTGGGCCGAAGTAGACTCTGACTTAACAAAACGAACAAGAGACAACTTTGCGATATCGGAAACGGCAGCATTTCGAACGGCGGCGGAATCACTGATGAGAAACTCATACGCCGCTTCGAAAGCTTCTCGCCAGAACCGAGGAACCTTAACGCCACCGGAGCGTCCGTACACATCCCACATCTGTCTCACCACTTTCTCTCTCTCTTCAATTTCCTGTCAGAATTTTTAAAATTTCTCAAAATTTTGAAAGACCAATTTTGGAAGAAAACAAAAATCAATAATAATTTATGAATAAATTCGTACCAGAACGTCGAGATCATCGCCGAAAGAGAATGCGTTAACGCCGTCAGCAGAATGGAACAAACCGATTCCTTTGAGAGAGACGGAACCGGTTAACATAGAACCAAAGGCCAAGAGTAGAACAGCGATTAGAACCCAAAGCTTGTAACCAGCGGTTTTGCGGTTGCCATTTACAGGTATTCTCACCGGTAAGAGCGTTTTCGATTCATCAAACTTCATTTTTGAGCTGATCTCTGAATCAAAATTCGGTTTGATATGGGACTTTATAAAACACAGGATCAATGTGAAAGAGAGACTTTTTTGAAGTTGGTAGTACTGGGATTTTACTTAAATAGCGCCAAGTGGGATGGGCTAAAAGCCACAAAGGAGTTGACTTCGTGTTGACTTTTACTAACGCGTTCTCTCTTATTATGGCTGCGATTGCTATCATTTTTTTAGGTGTGTAGATAATCCAGACGGTGGATAAATAAGTCTTCATGTCCAAACAGTCTTTACGTTTATATAAAAGACAAACACAAGCCTTGAACACGTTTTATAGTCTGACCAAAGTCTAATGAACTTGGAAACGAAAATTAAAGAACTGTAGAATTATTGATTATAAGACTAATTAATAACCAGAACAAAAGTCTTATTATCATTGGATGTTTTGGCTTACGGTTACTTCAGTTCATCCTTTTCAATGTAGCCGTTCTTCATATTAAAAGAGGTTACACCTGTCCAGAGATGTATGTGTCTACTCTTTGTATAGATAACTAATTCACTGGTTCATTACAATCTCAACAGTTTAAGACATAACAGATGTGTTCACGAATGAATGAGAAACTCAGAGAATGCTTATGTAGCTTATGGCAGACAATCAACACGACATCAATTTCAGACCGCCCGTCTGCAAGTATCTCATCATTGTTTCTTCATTAGGCTGTTCTAATTTTCTTCTCATATTCACAGGAATAAAAAGAGAATTACAATTAAGAACTTATTTTAAAAACCAACATTTACCCAGAAGATCCCATTTTTAAAAAAACGCTGGAACAAAATTGAAAACGAACGGATTAACTGTAAAAACTTTTGAAAACAGGGTTTAGAATATGGCATCAGATAATAAGCAGAGATTGGTAGTCAACACTGATACATCTGTGTGTAGGATAAGATTCTACTCATCATTTGCCAATCATAAACCCCTAATTTCTTAAAATCTATCAAGTACAAAACAATGATAAACATAAAGCAATCACTTCCGAACAAATTGATGAAAGAACTATGAGCGATCTAGGAGAACTATGAGCGATCTAGGAGGTTTTGGATGCTGGATTGTCTAAAGAGTTTATATAGCGAAGAGATGACGGACTAGGGTTTAGTTTATAGTGGGCTTGCTTTTTATTTTTCTATAATTATAATGACCTAACGGGCTAGAGTTACTCAGAAAAGGTTCAGCCCAACATGTTTGGGCAGATAAGGAGTTTAAAGAGCCCAACATGTTTGACCCAACATTGGCTCAAACCCTCAAATGTGCGAATATTGTTATAAGCATGTGGCTAAAACAAATCCATAGAGAATCGTCGTCCATATGTAAAAGGTTCGGTCTGGACTGAGCACGAATATTCGATTACTAAAACCATCAAGTGTATATCATCGACCTTTTGGGTTTTGTTTAGTACTTTTTGGACTATCAATCTTTGGTAATTGAATTTCATGGGACAAGTATAGACTTGTCACCCATTAAACATTTGAATCTCTCCTGATTGACGTATGTGTACAACAATAATCGATCGATTTATCTCAATCAGTGCGGTAAAACAACTAGACGACTGCAACATTCATAGTGACTATACCTATAAAGACTCTACTATACCACAAAAACAACATCCTTTTACCGGTGTAAATAGTGTAGTAGCTAAATAATTGACCGATGGTGTTGCTAACTTGTTGTTCTCGTATTACTCAGATAAGCCATAATGCCCTATATGCAAAAGTCGGAGAGGGAAAAAACATTATCCTATATAAATGGGCAGCAGCTTTCGTTCCCAACATCTCTCGTGGATAGATAAAAGAATCATTCCAGAAGTTATATTTTCATATAAATATATCCACAAAAAGCTCAATATATTCCATGTTTACTACACAAATTCATATGGCATCATGATTTTTATAAATGTTCTTTCCTATATGGTCCCAAACACTAGTAGTCAACTAGTAAGAAAAGGGTATTGACCCGATAGAGATGATTAGGTTTCAAAGCATATTTCGAGCCATTTGAGTGATTAAAAAAAACTTGTGGAAGAAGAATAGAAAAAAATAACAATTTAGTATATTAATGTGTGATATGCTAGTATGTCGGTCTTAAGAATACCCGAAAATATATGAGTTTTGAATTTAATTTCATGCATTCTACCAAAAATTAGAGAAACTTCAATAACACACGAAGGTTATTACATTTTTTAAAGAAAAATTGAAGCTTACGTCTCTTACAACGAAATAAAATAAGAAAACATTCTTCTAACTAAAAATTAACAGTAATATACATAAAGACTAAATACAAATATTATTGTAATAAGGTTCACCAAGTGTGTTTGATACTAAGACCATATCCAAATCTTTAAGAACATATTCCAAGGCCATGAACACATGTTGAGTCAAACTTATTGTGTCCACTCCATCTTCGTACGGTCATGCCTATATAACACACATAGTAGTCTTGTGGGATACTCATCAACAACCTCTTCATAAATACATAAATCATATAAGAGAAAATGGTGACATGAAGAATGAGAACTTGTGTGGTAGCCAAGGATGACTTGCCTGCGTTTTAGACCATATATATCAAAGACTCACTCGATCGATAGTCTTAGAGTTGGTTGGTCGTCAGGCAGTCTCCTTGGCTATTCAAACAATTCTCATTCTCTTCATTCACATTTCTCTTTTTTGGGAAACTTAACACAACAAACAGTGATAATCAATTTTGTTTGGCCTCCAAATTTGGGGATCATAGTGGACTTTGTCAATGTATAAGCATTGGGACAATGTGTTTTGAATAATCGAGGGCGTTGCTTCACTGTGGCCAAGAAACTTCACGTGGAGAATCTATGGATCTTGTCTTTGATCACTGATCAGCATGTGTAGTTTCTATGTTAGGCCATCATAAGTGCCTAAGTGGTCTGCGGAAAAAAAACTTATGTATTCACCAAAAAGGTATTTCTTTTTTTTTTTTTGGTAGGATCCAGCTGATCCAGCTGATTTATGCGTTTTTTTTTTTCCGTCTGGATATCAAATATCAACTATGCTAGTCTTGAGTCATGACATCCATCAGCAATTGTTTAATAGAAAGAAAAATATTTCAAAACAAGTTAAGATTATTAATGTTAAAAGATATTCCTTAAAATATCTTAAGACAACTCTTCACCGTGGCCCGAAGACGACTGGAGCAAATTCCGGACACAAAGATCTCAAATTTTGACGCTTTATCAAATTTCTTACTTCACCCATAAAAATCTGAGTTTTTAGACTTCAACAGGACAGATCTTTCTTCTCTTTCCAGATCCTAAAATCTTCATCTCCTACAGATCTGCAGAAATGGCGGTTACGTACTGATTCAGATACGGGAGAAGAAAAAGAAGAAAGCTTTCTGCTTTAACTTTTCCCATTACTGTAATGGCGGATCCTCTAAACGGCAAGTCCTTCTTTATCTGTTTCTCCCTTTTATTCTCCTTCACTCTGCTTTTCATTTCGCCGTTGTATGCCACCGAGTCTCCGGTTATCGAAGATGTTTCTACCGATGTTGCTGTGTCTGTTAGCGAAACCAATCGAGAAGCTGTTCTATTGCATAATTTAGAGGAACTCGTTAAGAATCTGACGGAATTAGTCGCTAATCTAGATGCTAAGTTATCTGCAACTCCATTAAAGGAGAAGAACGAGATCTCAGTTGATGATGACATCGGAGAAGAGAAAGAGAGAGGAAGGGCTAAGGCGTTTTCAGTGACTAAATACAGTCCGTTTTGGTCGGAGAGGTTTCAGTTTACATCAGCTGTGAAACTCAATTCCGATGCGACTTGTATCAATGTGTTGCCGTTTAGAGATTTCGAAGGTTCAAGCAAGTACTTTGCAATTGGTGATTCTAAAGGTAGAGTTTATGTGTTCTTGAGAAATGGTGATGTTTTGATTGAGTTTTTCACCACTGTTGATTCTCCGGTTACTGCTATGGTTTCGTATTCATCTGTGTTTAAGAACTCGAGTTTCGTGGTTACGGGTCATCAGAACGGTGCGGTGTTGTTGCATCGGATTCACGAGGGATCGAATGGCGAAGATTGGAACTCGAATTCGGTTTCTATGGAACGTGTTGGGAAGTTTGATGTGGATGATTCAGCTGATCCTGTGACTTTGTTGGAAGTGCATCATGTGGGTCGTGTTAGGTATATATTGGCGACTGATTTAAGCGGGAAGCTCACGGTTTTAACTGAGAACAGGACGGTTTATGGGTCGGTTATTCCATCGAGTAGACCGCTCGTGTTCTTGAAGCAGAGATTGTTGTTTCTTACTGAGTCTGGTGCTGGTTCCTTGGACTTAAGAAGCATGAAGATAAGAGAAACTGAGTGTGAAGGACTGAACCATTCGCTTGCCAGAACTTATGTTTTTGATGCTGCGGAACGGTCTAAAGCTTATGGATTCACATCCGAGGGCGAGATCATTCACGTATTGCTTCATGGAGATATAATGAACTTCAAATGTAGGGTTAGATCCAAGAAGAAGTTTCAAATGGAGGAGCCAGTAGCTTTACAATCAATCAAAGGCTATCTTCTAGTTATCAACGAAGAAAAGGTTTTCGCTTTCAATGTATCGACTCAGCATTATGTTCGTACTGCGGGTCCTCGGCTTTTGTTCTCAGCGGGATTAGAAGAGATCAGATCCGCGTTCTTGAGCCATCGCGAATCATCTTCAAGAACCACCACAGTAGTAAAGACTAGGCCGTTAATAGCTAGCGACAGGGAAAACCTTCTTGTGATCGGTTTAGAAAACGGATATTTCGCTGTTTACAAATCGAAGCTGCCAACTCTCAAAGGAGACTTCAACACAATGCTTTGGAGCAGTCCTGTGTTCTTCTTCATACTATTTCTATTCGGGGCTTGGCATTTCTTTGCCAAGAAGAAAGAATCGCTCACTGCATGGGGACCAGATGATCCTTTTACCCCGACCGGCGCACAAAACAGTTCGGCGAAAGAGCCAACATTTACTGAACCTTCAAGAAGAAACGATGACCTCATGGATCTACGGAGAAGGTACGCTGGTGGCTCATACCGGTCAGTTGGAGCTAACGACCCGAGTTCAAGAGCTCCGGTTGATGGAAACTATAGAACAACCGCACAGGATCATAACAATTATCGCGGTGGTGGCTCGGGTCTTGATTCAAACGGGTTTGGTAATAGAAGAGATCATTTGTTTGGTAACAACAAAGTTTTGGATAACGAAAGTTAGAATCTTTGGATTACTTGCAAATTCTGGCACGTTAATCACCACTTACTTCAAAAATTGTAATCTTTGTAACTTTATATAAACGCTAAAGGGTTTTATTATTCCTCGTTCGGTTTTTAACTTTATATAAACGCAAGTCTCTTGAAATTTTCGAATACAAAAACTCTGGTCAAAGAATAATTGTTTGACAGCTAAAACAACTTAATCTCAATCATAGTCAAGATGTGTTTTGGTCTATCATGTCTCATGTGATCGTGCTAGCAAGTGGGTAAATAATTGAGTTTAATTTTTCTCCTTAATCTCGATTTATAATGTGTTATGTTGACCGTCAGATGAGTCAGCGAAATAGTCATGTCATCTAACGGTTAAGACTTCATCTTCAACTAAAGAATTTCAGAAAGGAATCTACATCGTGTGAAGTAGAGGAACATTACTTTCGAGCTTTGATTCATCGTCGTCGTCTTCGGAGACGAAGCCAAACACACAAGCTCTCTCTTTCTCTCAACAACTTCAAAAGCCGGCAGGTATGACCGAGACCTCCGAAGAAAAACAGAACATTTCTAGGGTTTAACTCTGATCCACCACATTACCAAAACTTTCTTCAACTAGGTGATCAAAAAGGAGTCCTTTTTCATTTTGAGCTTCTGGGTCTTTGGCTTCTGATTTCGCTATAAGGAAGAGAAAAGTCAACGGCCATGGCGGGTCGTAGAGATAGAAGCCAACAACTCCGTGGATCTCGAATTGCGATCGCCATCCTCATCGGTATCTTTATCGGTTGCGTGTGCGCCGTTCTGTTCCCTTACGGGTTCTTCAACTCAAGCTCATCTCTCAAAGCAAGCGAACATCTTTCGAAATCAAGCAACCAGGTACTACATAAACCTCTAAAGCTCTAATTTTTGTGGTTCTGTGATCGAGTTTTACATAGATTGATGTTTGACTCTGCCATTATAGGTGTTATTAAGTGGTTAGTGTCTAAACATAGAAATTCTTCTTGGTGATGTGTTAGTTGGAGATTAGGGTGAAGTTTATCATGATACTGGTTTGGTTGATTACTGGATTTTGTATCTTAATTTGGAATTTAGTTGAGTGGTTTATAAATTCCACACTTGCTTTGTCTAGGTTGGATCATCAGCTTGTGAATCGCCAGAACGAGTGAAAATGCTAAAATCAGACTTTGTAACTCTCTCAGAGAAGAATGCAGAGTTAAAGAAGCAGGTCAGAGAGTTAACAGAGAAGCTACGCTTAGCGGAGCAAGGATCAGACAATGCAAGAAAACAGGTTCTAGCATTGGGAACACAGATCAAGGCTGGTCCTTTTGGAACTGTCAAGAGTCTGAGAACTAATCCAACTATTCTTCCTGATGAATCTATAAACCCAAGATTGGCAAAGATTCTAGAGGAGATTGCTGTTGATAAAGAGGTAATTGTAGCTCTTGCAAACGCAAATGTGAAAGCAATGTTGGAGGTTCAGATTGCTAGCATTAAGAGAGTGGGTATAACAAACTATCTGGTTGTTGCTTTGGACGATTACATAGAGAATTTATGTAAAGAGAACGATGTTGCGTATTACAAGAGAGATCCAGACAAGGACGTGGATACTGTTGGGAAAACTGGAGGTAACCATGCTGTCTCTGGATTGAAATTCCGTGTGTTAAGAGAGTTCTTGCAACTCGGTTATGGTGTTCTTCTCTCGGATGTGGACATTGTCTTCTTGCAGAACCCATTTAGTCATCTATACAGAGACTCTGATGTGGAGTCAATGAGTGATGGCCATGACAATCATACGGCTTATGGGTTCAATGATGTGTTTGATGAACCAGCCATGGGATGGGCTCGGTATGCTCACACTATGAGGATATGGGTTTTCAATTCCGGGTTTTTCTATTTAAGGCCTACAATTCCATCAATCGAGCTGCTTGATCGCGTGGCAGATAGACTCTCTAAGGCTAAAGTGTGGGACCAAGCGGTTTTCAACGAGGAACTGTTTTATCCTTCACATCCTGAGTACACTGCGCTACATGCATCCAAGAGAGTCATGGATATGTATGAGTTTATGAACAGTAAGGTCCTTTTCAAGACTGTAAGAAAGAATCATGAACTGAAGAAGAAAGTGAAACCAGTGATTGTTCATGTGAATTACCATCCAGATAAGCTCAATAGAATGCAAGCCGTCGTTGAGTTCTACGTTAACGGTAAGCAAGACGCGCTTGATAGCTTCCCCGATGGTTCTGAATGATTCACCTGAAAAGCAGATAGGCTAAAAAAAACTTTCCGAGTTTCTTGACATTTGTGATTCTAATATATTTCTCCCTTTTCCAATGTTTACTGCTTCATGCCTTCTACTTTCCTCTTTGTATTATGAATTTTTGTGTATCTTATGGCTAAAATCGCAAGTCTTTTTTTTCTTTCTTAACCTCTCTGATCTTGTTATTACATCCC